TTTCCAAAGCTCAAGGATATAAAACGCAGCCTTTCTGCAGAAAGTCTTCCTCTTTAACTCTGCCTGATTGATCCACCTGTCTTTTTTGCCTTTTGCTCAGTTTTAAGCCGTTAGTCCCTCTATAAACACCTGTTTGGTTTCAGCTCAGTACTGTATTGTGACAGGCTGGCCTGCACTTGACCCTTGTTGGCACAGCTGGATTGACTTTAGCCCGTGTCCATAATGAGAATCCCCCCAGCTTCCTTTACAGCTGCTGGATAGGAGCCAATTCTTTGAAAAGTGTGCTTGTCACAGTGGTGACTTCTGGAAAATGGAACACTTCAACATTGGAGAAATCATTTCAAGTTTAAGGACAAAGAATAAAAATGCTGTGCGCTTCCACAAAAAGGACTTTATAGTTACACCAGTGCCTTACATAAACACCACAGACGGCCCATTCTGGATTTAGAACGCTTTCCCAGGCAAAATGTTACTGATGTGAGTGTTAAATTAGAGAGGAGCATGCGTTTTAAAAAGAAAGAATGAGAAAAGGGCCATGCATCAAACGGCAGACAGAAACCTGGCAGCCTAACCGCAAACATGAGAAAAAGGAACCATACACAGCCTGCAAAAGATCACACCACTCAGACTTGTTCACACTTTGCTGTGTATGATATGGATGCATGAGTGTGTTTGTGTGCCATTGGAAGAATTGGATTCCAGGTCAGTTTGACCAGAAAAGTATAAACGTTCAGTTCATTCACCTTTTAGATATACACAAGGAAAATTAATACAGAGGGTCATATATTTATTAAATTGTTGTGTAAAAAACATTTATATCCTCTTTGTTCCCCTTTACACTTTGTGTACTGCTTTGTGTTGGTATTGCATAACTGAGGAAAAGTTCAAGAGATTTTAGTTCTATTGCCAGGCTTTGTTAAAATTAAGATTGAAAAGGAAAGGTAAGGAAAGTGGGAAACAGAACAGAGTTTAGTTGAGATGAATTGAGCTGCACAGACTGCAGAGTCAGCAGAAAACTGAGCAGAGGGCTGCAGCTGATTGAATTTTGGAAGAATTTAGCTGCAGCTTCGTTCTGACTTTTTTAACCACATCATGACAGAACCCATCCGTTGTCTTATAAAGTACAGTTATGCTGTTAGTATAAATGTAACGTTGGAAAATTCAATGGCAGCAGACCAGGGCTGTAACTTTTTAACCTTTAGAGACGACTCCTAAATATCTGCCCCGACGGTGTCCCCCCCTCAGCTTATGTGTGGAAGAGGTAGTAGAAGACACGTGTTTGTTTCTGCTTCATCATAATGGCTTCTTGTCATCTCACGTGGTGGGACTATATATCTCCGAGTGAGGCAGGTGTTCCTCGCGGCAGCCATCACGCCTCTTAAGGCGGCATGTCATGAGCGGAGCGGCGCCATCAAAAAGAATCACGCTGCACTCATCTTACCCCCATTCACATCTTCCCTTCAATTTGGTGAGAGCCTTGGAAAACAATCATCCTGGCCATGCACCAGTGCTTCCCATTATCAGTCTCATTTACCCACATTTGTCTCCTCTCCATCCTTCTCTTGAATTGTCTAGCTTTAATTGTCTTTGTCGTCCTCTGTCTTTGTCTTTATCAAGCTTTGTTTCATCTTCCTGGTTTTTCCTAACTTACCTTCTCTTTCTGTATTTTTCATTTTTATCACTCATTAATTTCTTTCCTTAGAATGGCATAAACAGCGTCTTTCTCTCCGGTGTCAGGCCAATCAGCATTATCAGACTTTCATTTTAAGCACCAAAAGAAACCCATTCAGCTCTATTCTCTTAATCTCAATGTTTATCCCCCCTACAAACCCCAAGCCAAAAAGTGAACACATCCAACTATAATCTATAATTGAATCCACTCACATAGAGGACAGCCATGCCTTTCGTCTGCATAAGAACAACAGTCGCCCAGCACACAGTTGCACAGCATCCCCCCCATCTTTTTTAACCCTGCACACCATGGCTGCATTGTTGTCCAGTAATTCCACTCTTTCTCTTCGCTCATATTTAATTAGCTGCTCTGGTACCACACTGAGAGACTTGTGAGGCTATACAGAGGCAGCGGCCCTGAGGGGGCAGCCACAAGTTGAACACTAGGCTGCATGTGGCTCAGCTTCTGTAGTTGGGTTGCCTGTGTTGTCGTCGTTGTCTGCCCCACAGGTTTCCTCCAACATTTGGAAAACTCTGGAATTTAGATAAAGGGTTTTCTCGATCAGGATAAGAACATAAAAGTATTTTATCTTAATCTCCCTATCTCCCTTATAGACACAATGTTATAAACCCTTCTAAGTAACATTATACCCATCCATAAAATGAGCCTGAGTAGGACCAAGGTCTTCTAAAGTAATCTGGACTTTTATTAAAGAAAATGTTGGATTGCTGCTTTTAAAAGAGTGAAGAATCCACATTTATGGGCCAGGGTTTTTTGTGCTTAGCGTTTTTTTATTAAGCAAACCACTTCAAGGGTTCAACTGGAGCAAGTGCTTGGTTAGTACCATACTTCTGTTTTCACATTTTTTTCAGGTTCTCTGCTATTTTCCTTTCTTCTATGTTCCATCTTTCTCTGTCCTTCCCCCCAATACATAAAAAAGCGAAAAAATAGTCAGATAAATTAATTGTATCCTGAGTTTGCCATTGTATGAGGTTGTGTGGGTTTCGATAAATGGATTCTTACAGGAGGAAAGTTGTAAATAAAGCTTATATAAAGGACCAGTAAATGTGGTGAATCTTTAGCTTGTTAAAACGGACGGTTCAATAAATAGTTTCTATGTTCAAAATAAATTATTGCTTTTGTCTTTGGGAACCCCAGTCGGCCTCAGCAGATGGCCACTTACAGTGCTGGAGGTTCTTAATGTTAAAAGGGAGTTTTTCCTCTCCACTGTTGCTACAAGCATGCCTGAAGTGAGGTTTAACCATTCAAGTAAATTAATCGATGCAATCAACTAGTTTTCCTTAGAAAACTTTGAATCAGGTTGACTGTATGATCTGGTGAACTGTAAAGTGCCTTGAGATGACGTGTTGTGAATTGGTGCTATATAAATAAACTGAACTGAATTGAAATATTGTCATTCCCCATAAGAATGACCTCACAGATGGTGGCTATTCATTTTAGATCCCATTAGTGTTTTAGTCGTTGCAGTGCAGAGACCTGGTGGACACTCACGTTTGGGCGTTCTCTTTTTTTGTATCCAAACAGCTGTTTATTTATTGCTTAAATCACATTTATATTTGTTTTAATGGGTAGTCTTCTTTAGTTAACCTCATACAAAGAGTCTAAATGAGATTGAATGCAGTTGGACTGGAAAACAAATTAGACGAGAAAAACTGCCTTGTTGATTGCATTTTTTTGTTTGTTTTTGTTTGTGTGTGTCTGTGTGTTAATGTTCAAGCTTTCCTTTTACACATGAAGTGGGGCAGTGGGTTTCAAAGCCATGGTCTGACAGTGCAATATGCCCAAAGGTAGATGGTCAGAGCTGGTTATTAGTCACATCTGAAAACAAGCATCATGGTCCAAGTTCTGAAATAAGCTAAATACAGTTCTTCCTACAGCCTGGCAGCGAGAACTATTCAGTTTATTACAGACACAGCTTCCTAGTCAGGCAGAAGGAGATTTATTCACATTTATCTGTTTCTGTTATTAATTACTACTAAAATCAAATGGTAATACTACATTTATTTATAAAGACAAACTGATCAATGGTTAAATGCATGGTAGAATACTAAAATAGACCAATAAATAAAGACTAATAAATGAATAACTGATGAAAAACTAAACAAGTTGATGAAGACTAAATCAAGACTGATTTTAAATAAGAAGTGAAATTGGCTTAAGGTGAAATGGGAAATGGAATTCAAGAAAATAAATAAATACAAAATAAACAAGCCTCTGAATAATTTTTTAGTGCATATTTGCAATGAATTGCAGCTCTATTTCAGCCATTTTTCTCTTCCAAGGAGAGAGAAAAAAAACCCTTTCTCCTAACTGGGGCTTTAACTGCGTTGTCATGTCAACCCATATAAAGCTACGAGGCTCCAATTCTCTCATTTCCTCCTACAAGCAAATTCCTTGTTGGCAAGAAGTCAGACTATCGTCTTCTGACCTGTTCCTTTCTTTTTCGGGATATTCTGACCTGCACTGGCTATATAAAGCACCACTGCTGTTTGTAGCTTATTGATCCAGGGGTGTGTGTCGGGGTATTTTGTGGACCGAGACCACCTTTGTCCAACAAGCATCGATTCCTTTTTAGTTTAAGTAAATGAGCTTTGCTGAATGTAATCAAGCTCTTTGACACCTCTCACCTACTTAACCAATCACTATTGTATTATCTAAATGTAAAGGAATGTCATTAAGGGTTTTTAATTGTGAACTAGGTTTGTTGTTTTTATCAGTTTCTATTTCAGTGTTTTCAGGTCTACAGATCGGCCAAGTTTAACCCACTGTTCTGCAACAGAAACACTGTTTTATGTTCATGATCAACATGTTATGATAAAATTTTCAAAAGGCGTTCTGTTATATATTGAATATGAATTAATGTAATTGATGCGAGATAGTGCTGTATCATTTATAAAATTATAAAAAAGTCTAAGCCTTCTGCTAGTCTGGTGTTATCTGCTCTAAATCAGAAAAGAAAAAAACATATCAGAAGCTTTATTGCCAAGTAGTGTTTTACGCATATGAGGAATTTGCCTTGATAAAGCGCAGCACATAAATAGACATACTGTTGACAAAATTGATTTTGAAATGAATAATTTGGAATAAACAAGTTGTATAGAGAAGTATAAATAACAATTAGCAAGGGGAAGGTCTCTTTAGAGGCCCTGGTTTTGTTAATGAGGGTAGCTGCAGTCGGGAAGAAGCTGGTTTTGCAGTGATAGGTTTTGGTCCTGATGGACAGCAGCCTCCTACGGATCTCTTATTGTTGGACATTAGAGCATTTTACACACAGACCAATGACTTCTCTCCTCTACTCCTCTTTTAGGTGAAATCTGTGAAGACTGGCTCAGTGTTCTGGACCATTGGCTGCTGTCTTTCCTACTTCTACATGGTAAGGGCTGGTAATTGGAGACCTGAATTATACATGTTACATACTGTGTTTTTTTTCCCATGTGATGAAGAAATGTGATGGTTAAAGAAATTCAACAAAGTTAACAACCAGCATGTGCAGCTGTGCTTATTTTTATATTTGCTGATCTGACGTTAGCATTCAGGTTTTTATTGTGTTTAGATCTAATCAGCCAGACCTCATTCAGAAGAACCCTGGAACCAAACGTTTGCCTCGTTTAAAGAAGAAATTCAGACTCTGCTCATAGACCAGTTTAAGTTGCCTCAATGGCTTCTATTCAGACCTTCTCACTATCGCCCATTTAGGAGCAAAGGATGGTCTAAAGGACCTATCCAACTTCCAGGATGTGTGATTCACAGAAAACCTCGTCTTTATGTCATCTAATGCAGCAGCAGCTACACAGAATCTCTCCAATCAGCTCCGTCAGGGAATCTTTAGCCGACCTTTTATCTGTATTTATAGCCGAGTTGTTTCGTGATTGATGTTTGTACTGACTCTTATATCTCAGACAGAGTCGGGGTGATGTTCCAACAGTTGTATTGAGTTTCACCTGTCTGATATTTTAAACGGGTTTTAATCAAATTCAAGAAAATCAATAATTCAGCTGTGATCTTAAGTCACTTTACCTTTCTGCCTTTAATGTTTATCCAATTTAGTGTGTTATAATCTCTACTGAGTTAGTTTTTTTCTCAATTATTCCATCTATTGGCTGATGCAGCACAGATTTTTATTTCTTAAGCAATCGTGAAGTGTGCCGACACCAAGCATCAGGAGGGAAGTGGCTTTTGATAGAAAGCTAGAGCTGCATATTTCCTGTTATTTCCGTGTGTCATCAGGTCATTGATGAGGGCTGGAGGATATTGGGAAATCATGCAAATGAAATAACTTGAGCATTTTGACTATCATCTGTGGACTAAACGGCTAACTGTGAAAGTCGTCTTCCTGAAAATATGACGGACATACCAAGCGGGAAGTCATGGCTTTTTCAATGCAGCAGCCAACAAATCACTGAATTTAGTTTTCCATAAAATGACTTTTTCATCTCAGATTTATGAAAAACGTATAAAGCTGAACAAAAAGTAGAAAATGAAACCACAGTATATATAATTTATTATCATATACTGTATTTATGCTGTGCTGAAAATGTATAATTTATATCAGACTTTTTTTTGCCACTTGTAATGCAAAATAGTCGAATTTTGCCTTCTTTTTTGTAAGTTAAAGATGAAATAAGCAATATATTCATGAAAAAACAAAATGAATTGTATTTTTGTAGAAAAGAGCAAATCATTGTTGCAGGGCTGTGCAATATGGTGGAAAATTTATTGATAATTATTGATTAGCTTTTTTTAAAGAGATCCGCACTACCACCTACCGTTCTTGATTTGGGAATGAGAAACTAAATCCGTATTTAGTACTTGCATCTCCTAGAATTGGGTGTCTACTGTGATGCATATCATGGTTGTTATATTGCCCAGCTGGAAACTAAAGTTAGAAAAAGGCTCTGATATTTTCTTGATTAAATAAATGTGTAGTTTCTTAACTTTTCAGGTTAAATGCTGCGAAAGTCACTTTTTGCAAGCTCTTGCTAAATTTGATTTTAAATTCTGTTTATAGGAGTAAAAAAAGTCTATTTTTAATCCTACTTAGTATGAAATATAAAGATACATTTAAGAGATGGCTTATTAAAGAGGTTCACTTTGTCTTGTACCAACATTTTTCATTTGAAAATACATAAAAAATTCTGATGCACCCGAACCAATGCAGGAAAACTCTTTGCCTTATTTTCTCTGCATACACACCTCCTACGCTCTACCTTCCCCTAACGACCTCTCCAACCATGTCTTAATAACCTGTAGTAAAGTCTCTCTCCTCTTTTGCAATTTCATGGGAATCTGTGACAGTTGTTTTGTAGGTGTAGTCGGTGCTTGGCTGCATTATTTATCAATTCAGACAGACTCCCTTTGGGGGGTTGATGAGAGATGAGATAAAAGACAGTTCAGACACTGTGCCTCAGCGACAGATTGTTTGCATGGGCGCCTATGAAAATCTCCGGCGTCTCCTTCATTCAAAGCTAAAGCTATTTGGCCAGTAGCGAGACAGATGTCAAATCCAGCAGATTACTGAAATCCAGCTTCATCGGTCACACTGCAGCGGGGGGACCGAATCGACGAGAGATTACAGGGAGAGGATTGGGGTGAGAGATGAATAGAACGGCAGACAAAACAGAGGGGGTACATAATGGTGCACAGAGAGAGGTGGTAAAAGATAAGGAGGAGGACAAAGAGGACAGAGAGGAAAGGAAAACAAAAAGATAAGACCTGACTTCATTGTCCTAGTCAGCAGCAGTGAAAACATTTAGCCTTTCTTCCTGCTATGATCCTCTTTTCTTCACACCCACACCTTCCTCTTTGTCCGAAGTGATCAGATGTTCCCCTCTAGACAAGTCCACCTGCAAAGAGCAATAAACCAAGCTTGGATGTCTCCATTAATAACTCTGGCATTATCTGCACTGCGAGCACAGTGTCTGGCATGGCAGACAGTAGTGGAGACACTGTAGATTGTTTCCACCGCATTATTTGATCAGGATACAGTCAAGGTTAGATAGCCCAGTGATGCTTAATTGAATGTGACACCCTCATTAAGGAAATACAAAAATGGAAAGGAAAGGATCTTTTATTTCTTTATGTTGGATGAGTCAAAGGAGAAATGACAGAGGTGGTTAAGATCAAGAGAAGGATGGAAGTGGTTCAAAGCTCAGATGAACAGAAAAGCTCAGAACATAGTTGGAAGCTACACATCATCATCTGAGGCGGAAGCCATGAGGCAAAGCTGGACTGTTGATTACCAAATTCCAATTCCCTAAACCCTTCAGCGTTCTCTAATAAAGTAACCTGTAATGTCAGTGCGTGTCAAAAGCCCTTTGGCTCAATCAAATGCTTATTAAATGCTCTGAACACCGGGCTCCTTAGGCGCCTGCTCTTAAGACTGTCATTTAGCCAGACTGAAAAGTCTTACTGAAGCATGACTGGAGAGAAAGAGAAACCTGTTCATCCATGATTGGCTTTTGAAGTTTCTTAACCTCTCAAAACCCACCCACTCGCCGGCGGCTACTTTTATAGTGTTTACAACTAATAACTCAGAATGCATTGAAATTACAACTTTAACATTTTTACCAATATAGACATGTTAGACATTGTTGGAAAGCTTAGATTCTCCACAATTCAACCAAGTTCATTTTATGGACATAGCAAGCACCAAAGCACAATTAACACATATATAGCAGCATGTCAAAATGTAAACATTCCAAACCAGCCACAACAACATACCTTTGAAGGCATCCAAAAGCTGTTTTATAAATCCAGCCTTCAGAAGTTTATATTTAATTTGTCCATAAGGGTCCACAGATCAAAAGTAATCGTGAATATTTATGATAAAAATTTTCCATGATGATAAAATCACCACTTAACGTCTGGTTTTTGACACCAGAAAAGTTAGCTGGTCATAGCTAATCCTTAGCATCTTGCTAATAAGACTTACTTCCTCATTTGTCATAAGGGTGTGCAAAAATAATCATCATAACGATGCATTGCGATTCAAATTTTTGTGATCTACTGCATCGATTCTTGAAGGCAAGAATCAATTATAATAAAAAAAAAATGAACAAATAAAATACATTAATCATTGGCGCACAAGTGGAATACAACTTCCAGTCCAGCAGATTTCGCTGCGGATGTGTTGACGCCCGCTGCCTTGTGTCACAAGCATTTCCAGCCGTGGGATACTGCAACGAGTCATATGAAATAAAACATGGAGGACACTATGAAAATTCGCCCCGCGGCTCCATCACATTTCAAGTCAGATGCTTGGATACATTCTGGCTTTAAAAACAAAGAAGGTAAAAATGAAATACATTTGACGCATGTAATTTGCAAAAGGGGAAATATACATTTGAATGTTTTAGTTTCATTGGTTTAAAGGACCACTGAGGCCATGTAAACGGCATTGATTATCCTAATTTTGTTATTTTAAGTTTGATGAATCCTAAGATCTTTTTGTCAGTGTGTCCACGCCAGTAATAGTAATATTTCTGTCCAGTATTTGTTTTCATGGCAACACCTCCAAAAGTCGTTTCAATAAATACAGCTATGTATGAATTCAGTTGCTTTCAGTTATGTATCAAATGAAGACACTATCCAGATCATACCCAGCCAGTCAGCCACTGGTAAAGGCTGTATCTTTTTCTTACAGTGTTCAGTGAAAATATTGCAATGCATCGTAATTAGGGCTGCAACTAACGATTATTTTAAAAATCGATGAATCGGACGATTATTTTTTCGATTAATCGATGAATCGGACAAAAAATATTTTTTTATATTAACCTCTTTATTCCAAAATAAACATTTTAGACAGAACAAACAAGCACACAAGTACAGGTTGCTCATTAACTGTACTGGTGCAATATGAAAAATAAATGTTTGTGTTAAAACTACGCAAACTTACATGAGAAATGTAGCTGTACATCCACAAAATATAGGGTACTTTGTTTCATAAAGCGCAAAAAAAGACATTTTTGTTTTTAAAAGCCCCTAAGGGGTTCAAACAATAGCCCCCCCCCATTTCAACAAATGAGTTTTTTTTAGACTAGAAGAGTTCTGCCTTTTAAGACAGGAAAATATAGCAGTTAAAGTTGCTACTTGAGAAAATACTCAACCATAGAGATAAAAATAGCCCTGTGATTCAAATTATAAATTGTATTTGGAATAAAAATGAGAGAACTAGGGGTGCTAAAAAACACATCCTCCAAAGACAGATATTTACATGGGAATGTGGCAGATAATTAATTGACATATTACTGATCTTGCTGGATTTTATTCTGCTTTACTTCCATAAATTGCAGGATCTTCTTTTCTTTATCTTTGCCAGAAGATTTAAACTTTAAAAGCCTTGCCCTCATAATTTGCAAGTTAATTTATTTATAA